CTCTCTCTCTCTCTCTCTCCTTTCCTGCCTCTCTCCCTCCCCTTTCTCCCTCTCCCCTTCCCTCTCTGCCATCTATTCCCACAAGACAGTGTCTTGCCATGGTTCCAGGTTGGTTTCCAACTCACAGTAACCCTTCTACCTCAGTCTTCTGAGTGCTGGAATTTCAGGCAGGCAACATCACATTTGGCTATTTTAAACTTACTTACTTATTTAGATAGGTTATCCCTAAGTTGCCCAGGCTGTGCTTGAACTTCCAATCCTCCTGTCACAGCCTCTCAAAGTGTTGAGATTACAGGTGTGTGCCACCACACTGAGCTAAGATTGCATCCCTTTCGATTTTCAAAAATATTTATATGGTATGTACTTGAGGATAAAACACAGTAGGTGTGGTGGTGCACACCTGTAATCTTAGAATTCTGGGAGGCCAAAACAGGGAGACTGCAAAGTTTCAGATCAGCCAGGGCAAATTCAACAACTTAGTGAGAACCGCTGTTAAAAATATATATATAAAGGGCTAGGTAGGTAGCTCTGTGTAAAGACCCTGAGTTCAATCCCCAGCAATGGAGTGGGAAAAAAAAGAGTTATTTTAAAGCACCTAATTCTGGCTGGACAGCTGGAACACACACCAGGGAAGCTGAAGCAGGAGGATTGCTTTGAGTTCCAGGCTACTCTGGGCTACACAGTGAGTTCAACAGCATCCTGGACTACACAGTGAGTCCTTGAAAGTACCTGTTTCTATGAAACTAAAGAGACTTTTCTCCCAATATGGGGAATTGAATCCCACCCCAGGCCTTTTTACTTTTCATTTTAGGACAGAGTCTTATTAAGAGGCCCAGGTAAGGCTTGAACTTGTGATTCTCCTGCCTCAGCCTTTCATGTGGCTGGGATTGCAGGCATGTACCACCATATCTGGGCAAAAGGAATTCTTTACTTAACAAAAGAATCTGTTTTCAACAATGAAGTTTATTTTGTTTTGGTGGTACTGTTAACTGAGCCCAAGGCCTTGCACACACTAGGCAAGTGCTCTACTACTGAGTTATATGTCCATCCCACCACCTAGTTATTATCTCTTTAAGTGGGTTAAGCAAAAATTTTACTTCACACACTGAAGTTACAAAGATGGGAATTTCTGACCCTTTGTTTAATGCTTCAACACACCGTTTCTTGAGTTTTCTGAAGTGTGAAAAAATTGATCCACACATTCACCACCCCTGACCTTTACACAAGAGAATGAAGATGACTGCTAGACCTAGGTGTAGAGACAGTGGCCTAGCTCATTTGTCCTTTCTATCCAAAGCGAGGCATGTAGATGTGAGCACATGCTTTAGAGCAAAACTAGCAGTTGGAGGTACAAGCAGCAGTCTGAGGCCCAAACTCCACACACAGCAGAATTACACAACTCGTTTTAACCTGGTAGTCACTCTCTCTCTCTATCAAAATGGATAACTTTCATGTCAAAAAGTACTTCACTGGGCCGGGGATTTAGCTCAGTGGTGACGCCCGTCTCACAATCACAAGGTCTTGAGTTCAATCCCCAGTACCAAAAAAAAAAAAGTACCTCATCCTTCATAGTTTAAGGTCATGCTTTGAACTGCTCTCTCATGTCAGGTATCACATGAATCTCTATTCCCTGTGCCTCAATGTTGGCTCAGCTTCCTTTAACCCGTTAGCTCCTCTCTTGCTAGCCTTATCTATGTTCTCCTCTGCAGACTGGTTTGTTACATATCCCACACTGCGGAACCAGCCTCCTCACCAGAACAGTGATCTGTACCACACACAACCCAGATACCAGAAGTCATCTCGGAAATCTACTCCTTTCCTTCCATGTGCAGTCAGATACCAAATGCTACTGGTTGTTATCTTCTACATATCTTCATTACCCCTTTATCATCACCACCCATTTAGTATTTTAACCACAAACCAAGATTATTGCAACAATTTCCTAACTACTTTGCCATCCCATTTTGGTTCGAACCCATTCTATACAACTACAATCAATGACCTCATAACAAGACTTCATCATTTTCCTCCCTTTGAGCAGATTCTATGCAGTCAGGATAACGACAAGTTGCTGCGTGTGTCATATCAGGCCCTCTCAGTCTAGCTTCACCTAGGTCTCCTGCTCCTGCATTTTCCTGGTTCTGGCCAGCATGCCCCCAATCAGTGCCCTTGATCACTGCCTTGCATTTAGCACACCCCTGTGGCCTTGGGGCCACGAGACATGCTTCTCTGGCTGCCAGACACACTCTGCTCTTTGACAACAGTAATTTCACTTACTTTAGTTCTTAGCGCAAGCACCATTTGCAGGAAAACTTTCAATGACATCCCACAACAGGTCAAATCCTTCAATAACAGGTACTCAAAAACATACATCTCCCTTTATCATGTTCGTTGAAGTGGATATTTGGTATTTATCTAAGTGGTTATTTGGTTAATGTCTGTCTTCATGCTTCAATGGCAAGTTCCATTCTTCTCTTTGGTTAATCCTTTTCATTCCCCAAGCCTCAGACAAGACTAGCACTTAATAAATATTAATTGAATGAATAAAGGAATAATTTGCTGAACTCAGAGTCTCTCACTGTAATTCACTAAAAGACTAGCATAATCAGTATATTTTCATGTAAGGAAACAAAACACCCATCTCTCTAACAAAGCACAAAAAACAAGGTTTCCACTCCAGTAATAGAAAAGTTAGCTATCCTGAAACACTTCCTTTAGAAATAGAGAGGAAAAAAAAAAAAAAGGAATAAACTATATTCATACAAAAAAAAAATACAGAGAGGAATTTGTAAGAGCAAGAGATTTGCTCAGAGGCCAGGAAGAGATTTAGGAAGTTAGGTAAGCATAAAGCAAGCAGCAGAAAAATGTGGCCTCAGGAAAATTCCATTACAAATGAATGTACTCCAGAGATGGACAAAGTGAACAAAAACTGATCATTCTTCCAGGTTTTGACTCAAAGTAAATGCAAATATTCAAGGGAAGAACTTCAATTCAGGTCTCAAGCCAAGTGATAGAATCACAAGAAAAACTCAAAACAAAAAACCATAAAACACATAAAAGAAAAAGGTACCTCTGGTCAGTTAACAGAAACAATAAGCAAGTCAAATAGAACTACAGACATGACATAAAACATATAAAAAAGGTGGGCATGGTAGATTACACCAGTAATCCCAGCACTCGGAAGGCTGAGGCAGGAAGATCACCATGAGTTCAAGGCCTGGCTGAACTACATAGTAAAACCCTGTCTCAAAAAAAAAAAAGTAAAAGAAAGGTTTCAAATGTTTAAATAAATAAAAGAAACAAGCAAAATCATGAGGAAGGCTATCAAAGGAACATGTGGGAAATAATGTAATACTTTTAAAAATGAAAAACACAACAAATGAAATTAAAAGCCAAATGGAATTCATCAATAACATATCTTAGAACAAGAAGGAGGGTGAATTAAAAGGTATCAAAAAGGAAGCAGGGGGTTGGGGATTTAGTGCCACTGCCTAGCTTGCAAATACAAGCAGGACCACCTGCAGGCGGCCTCATATCATAGGTATTTTAATTTCTTTGGTACCAGGGATCGAACTAAGGACCTTGCTTGCACTTGTGAGGCAGGCAGCAGAACCACTGAACTAAATCCCCAGCCCTGGAAGTAGCTATTTTAAAAGGCAAGATGCCCAGCTTTGCGCAGGAAGAGGGTGCCATTAGGGGGACAGAGAAACCAGTAGTGGTCTTCAGGGTCAGACAGACACAGAGGCCTTAAGTACAGGCTGGTTTCCCCCAAACTCATTTATAAGAATCCAAATGTGCACAGTGCAGGAGACTCAAGAGGTAAGCCAGATATCACCTGAAGGGAAAATGGATTGGTTTCTTATCTGTTTTGTTTTTTTGTACTGGGGATCAGACTCAGGACCTTGCGCTTGCAAGGCAGGCAATGGTACCACTGAGGCAAATCCCCAGCCCTGGTTTCTTAACTTGTGGGGCTGAGAAACCAAGATCAAGGTACCTAACCCACCAGGAGGACAGCATCTTGAAGAACATGTGAAAAAACGAAGGTTTTGTAAAACCACAACCAAATGACAGAGAGAAAGAATAGATAGGCTAATCTTCACCAAAACAGGCACTGTGCTAAATTCAGATTGGAACTGATTTGAAGAAAGGGTAAACTCTGGCTCTAGAAGGATAATTTCATCTGGAATATACATACATGTTATGGTTAAGATCTAGAATGGTCCCCAAAGGTCTTATGTGTTCAGAGATGGGGCTTGTGGAAGGCGTATACTCATTAGTGGAAAATCCACTGAGGAGTTCACACCTGAATATACTGTAAAGAGGTGGGCCTCCTTGGAGGAGAGGAATCACCTGGGACATCACCTGAAGGGTGTATTCTTGGCCCTCATTCCTCTCTTCTCTCCCTCCGCTTCCTGGTTACCATGATTTGAGCAGTTGTCCTCCACCAGAATCTTTACTATACCATTTCTGCTTAGGAGCCAGATTTTTGACTGTGTTCTGAATCTGGTGAAACCATAAGCCAACATAAACCCTCCTTAAATTATGTGTGTTGTGTTTTAGATCTAAAAGTCTCATGTGTTTGGAAGGTGACTAGATCATGCAGGTGCTACATTTGTCATTGGATTAGTCCACTGATGAGTTCATAGCTGACTTGGCATTAGAAGGGGCCTGGCAAGAGGTGGGTCACTGGGAACATGAATTGGAAGGGCTTATCTGCCTCCCTGGCTCCTCCCTTCTCTCTCTGCTTCCTGGCCACCATGAGTGTAGCTTTCCTCGGCCATGATGTTCTGCCAGGCCACTTCTGCCTTGAAGTCTGCCGGCCTTGGAGCCTGCTGACCATGGACTGAGCCCACTGAAACTGTAAAACAGAATAAACAAATTCTCCTTAGAGTTGTGGATGTGGGGGATATTTTGTCCTAACAATGAGAAAATAACTAAGACACAGGGGGCTGAATATAGGACTTTGCTCATCATCCTGGAGTTTATAATTGTTATGCACATTACCAGGGATTCAGTCATTAATTGGCAAGCAAACAATGAATTAAAACAATATGAATGAATTTCAAAAGTGAGAAAAAAGTAGTAGAACAGAACTGCCAGTATCAAAATGGAGTAGCTAGCAGAAAAGGATTTTTTTTTTTTTTTTTTTTTTTGGTATTGGGGATCAAACTCAGGACCTTAGGTTTGCGCGGCAGGTGCAGCACCACTGAGCTAAATCTGCAGCCCCAGGAAAGGATTTTTAAAGTAACTGACAAATATGATCAACAAAATTGAAAGAGATGTTAGAATTCAAATGAAAAAACAGCAAACTTAAATTTATTAGCCTTCCTGTTGCTGGACAAAATCTGAAAGTTGCAAATTAAAGGAGGTTTATTTGGCTGATGGTTTCAGAAGTTTCAGTTCACAGCTGGTTGGCTCCAAGACAGAAAACTCAAGACAAAAGGGTGTGGCAGAGTGAAGCTGCTTAGTTCATAGTGGCTGGAAAGCAGAGTAGGGGAAGACTGCGGTAAAGGAAGGGGCCACGACGGACCAGATACAGCACTCTCAGTCAAGCCTCCCTGACATTGCCAGATCCACTCATAAGTGTGCTTCAATCATCTCCTAAGCAGTTTTCAAGAAAATTTAAAATGTATAAGAGAATCAAATGGGAAAAAAGGAACTAATAAAGACAATATGTGAAATTTGAAACTTATTAAAATTAATTCCAGATTGGATACACAGGTGGGCAATATTAATGAAATGGAAAGAAATTAATGGAAAAGTTTCTAACAAATCTAAAAAGAAAAAATAAGGACTAGACAAAAAAGACTAACAGATGCAAGTGACACTGAAAAATTTATAGACATATAAATGGGATTTAAGAAGTAGAAAAGAAGCTGGGCATGGTGGCACACGCCTGTAATCCCCGCACTCCGGAGGCTGAGGGAGGAGGATCACTGTGAGTTTGAGACCAGCCTGGGCTACATAGTGAGTTCCAGGTCAGTCTCAACTACATAGTGAGACCCTGTCTCAAAAAACCAAAACAAATAAACAAACAAACAAACCAAAACACACACACACACAAAGAGAAGTAGAAAAGAAAGAATGAATGGAGAAACAGTATTTGTTTATTTATTTATTTATTTATGTATTTATTTATGGATGGGGAATTGGTCTCAGGTCCTTGTGCTTGTGAGGGAGGTGCTGCAGCCACTGAGCTAAATCCATGGCCAAGCAACAGTATTTAGAAATGCAATAATTATATTTCAAAGTAGATGAAAGACATCAACTTATATATTCAAAAAACTCTGCAAACCTTTTTGGTTGTTTGTTTGGTACAGGGTCTCACTTTGTAATGCAGGCTGACCTCAAATTCACTATGTAGCTCAGGCTGGGCTCAAACTCATGGGGATCCTCCTGACTCAGCCTCCCAAGTGCTGGGACTACAGGCCACACCCAGGTGAAACTCTGACTCTCCAGCATGATATAAAAGTAAAACTACACTTGATTTGGGCATGGTGGCAGTGTGCCTAATAAACACATAACTAAAGAAACAGAATCAGAAGCCCGGTGTGGTGGTGCATGCCTGTAATCCCAGCACTTGGGAGGCTGAGGCAGGAGGATCACTGTGAGTTCAAGACCAGCCTGGGCTACATAGTGAGTTCCAGGTCAGTCTCAACAACATAGTGAGACCCTGTCTCAAACAACCAAAAGAAAAAAAAAAAAAGATGTATAATAACATCACATCTGGCTGAAACTTCTTTTGGTCAGTCTCAACTACATAGTAAGATCCTGTGTCAAAAAGCCAGAAAAAAAAAAAAAGAAAGAAAGAAAGAAAGAAAAAAAAAAGAAACAGAATCAGACTCAAACATGTATGGGCACAAATTATGATAAAAAGGACAATATAGAGTGGTAGAAAAAAAGATAATCTATTTAGTAACTGGTACTAGGTCTACTGAAATTCACATGGAAATTGTGACTTATACTTTATACCAAAATAAAACAGAAATACAGACAGACTACAGATCTAAATATGAAACTTAAAGTAATGAAGGGCAGTAGGGGGGTATTTTCATGACCGTGCAGTAGGCAAAGGTTTTTCAAAATACGATATAAAAGCTGTTATATGGCAGGAAAAAAATTAGCCAGGTGTGGTTGTGCACACCCATATTGCCGCACTCACTGTGAGTCTGAGGCCAGCCTCAGCTACAGTGAGTCTCACACCAGCCTGAGCTGAAGAAGAAAAATTTTCTAAATTGGGCTACATTAAAAATGAAGATTTCTATTCACTAGAATCCCAATGTCTGGAATAGGGTCTGGAACATAGCAGACACTCAATTAACATTTTAAATAATGTAGAAAAAGACAGAATATAAGACAAGCCACACAGTATAAGATATTTCAATACATAAATCTCATATGGGATCTTTATGTAGACTATTTTAGAAACTCTGACAATCAATAAGAAACTATTGGAACTAGTCAAAGGGTGTACATATAATCAGCTGTGCAAAGATGATGCCTAATACTTTTCTGAAGAAAATATATGGCTTCGCAAATCTATTAACAAGGTATGAGATATCCATCTTTTGTACAAGTTTGCTAGAATATACTATATTAAGTTTCTTTGTTTTATTTTTAACCATTCAGGTGTGTGATATCTCATTTGGTTTAAATTTATATATTGTGATTAGCAAAATTTTCTTTGAATATAAAAAAGTGGGAAAAATACTGAAGCTTTAGATAAATATAAGTAAAAAATATTTTAAAATCTTTCCACTTCATTTATACATATAATTTCTTTCTTTCTTTCTTTTGTTTTTTGGTACTGGGGATTGAACTTTGGTCTTTGCACTTATGAGGCAGGCAGTGGCACCACTGAGCTAAATCCCCAGCCCATTATACATATAATTTCAAAATGTTTTAATTTAGAAATTGGAAAATCAATGGCTGAAGAGTAACAAATATAGGACTAGTAGAAAATTTTAATAACAAACATGATAGGTACTAGGATAGGAGCCAAAATTAAAATGTGTATTAACACACATAAACAGGTAACCTTCCCAAAAGCAGTTTCTAATGCATTAAATCCTCATGAACATGTGATAGTTTTGTCATGAAAAAAATACATGAAATTCATTTTGGGGGGGGGTACCGGGGATCAAACTCAGGCCCTTGTGCTTGTGAAGCAGGCAGTGGAACCACTGAACCAAATCCCTGGCCCTGAAATTCATTTTTGACAAGTGTACTTTTAAACACCACCTCCTCCTTTTTGCCTGATTGGAAAATTATATAGAACTTGTAGAAAGTTTAGAAGGTTGCTAAGAAGAAGAAAAAAAAATTTTGGGGGGTTGGTATTAGGGATTTAATTCAAGAGTCTTCACGTTGAGCTACATCCTTAGCCCTTTTCTTTTTATGGAGACAGAGTCTGATGAAGACACTAAGTTCCCCAGGCAGGGCTCAAGTTTTTTATCTTCTTGCTCCAGCCTATCAGAGTGCTACGATCACAGGTGTGAGTCTGGGTAGAAATCACTTGCAATTCTGATATTCTGATATTCAGGAAAAAACCTTTCAGATGTTCGTGAATTTATTGCTAATTTATTTTCTTTGCACACATGTGTATAGATGCTCTAATACATGAAATGATTGTTTACATATCTCTAGTGCAAGTTTATTTTCACTTACAGTATCATAAACATCTTTCTATGTTATTAAAAATTCTTTCTAAACCACATAGATGGACATGGCATATTTAATTAACAATTTCCCAGAGATCGATATTAGGATATCTACAAGAAATGAATTTTGTGATAATCAAAACTTTTTCAAAGTGAAGCATAAATTCTTCAATTCTTTACCTGATTATTACAATTACCAATAATGAGTGCATCAGCCAGAGACAACTGTCCCACTATCATGCCCTGCTCCAGCAATGGGGCTCCTGTTTCAGCAAGGCGATTGGATGTGATAACAATGGTATTATCATCATTTAATACCATTACAGGGTCCGCCTAAAGAGAAAAGCAAAAAATGACTAGAAAAACAAAAATTATAATAAGATATTCCTCGTCCTTGACATACCCACACAACAAATGCAGATACCATAGCCATTCCTTTGTTCATAATTATGACAACCTTTCTTCTCAAAAAACTGACCTCAATGAAGGCTGCTACTTCTTGGAGCACCAAGTTCCATTCCACTTGATCTTCAGTATTGAAACGGTGTGTGTAATCCTCAATTTCATCTGATAATTCCTAATTTCAAAATACCATAAAGAAAGGTTATATGTTGAAAACCACAGGAATACACATCTATACTGTAACATTCCTGACAAAAGCTGATAAAATTAAGGATTTTTTTTTTTATTCTGGTACTATACATTGTTAGTCACATCCTTAGTCCTTTGTAAATTTTGAGACAGGGTCTCACAAAGTTGCTAAGGTGCCCAAGCCAAGCTCAAACTTTTGATCTTTCTTACTCAGCCTCTCAACACCCAGTCCTTATGAACAACAAAGAATGGATTTGTTTCAAAATAAATGTCAGAATGACATGCATCAAATAAGATTAGCAGGAAATTTATTAATAAAAAGTCCCTCCATACTCCCCTTTACTCTCCTCCTGTTGTTTAATAATAATAAACCTTCTATTTTCTTGTCATCTTTTTTAGATTCCACATATTAGGGAGAACATGTGATATTTGTCTTTCTGGTTCTCGCTTATTTTGCTGAACATAATGCTTTCCAGATGCCTCCATTTTTCTGCAAAGGACATGATTTTTTCTACATTATGGCTGAGTAGTTCTACATGGTGTATGCCACATTTTCTTTATCCATTCATCTGTTGGTGGGAACCTAGGCTGGTCCGTATCTTGGCTATTCTGAATTGTACCTGAATAAACATAAACATGTAGGTATCCCTGTAGTATGCAGGTAAGTAACTTCAGGTAAATACCAAGGAATGCATAGGTCTATTTTCAAATAGATCAAATGCTAGCTCTACTTTCTCTTTAAGGAGCCCTTATATTGATTATCACAGTGGCTCTACTACTACATGGCTCTCCTAGCAGTATAGAACTTTCTCCCTGTATCCTTGCCAGCATGTATTATTTTTTGTATTATTGGTGATCGTCATTCTGGCTGCAGTGATAGAATATCAATGTGATTTTGATTTCCAACTCACCAAAATCTTAACATATGAACGAAATGAATACTTCCTGACTTTCTTTAGATTTATATCATACTACAGAAATACTCATCTTGGTGAATGGGAGTAGAAAAATAAAAAGAAAGTGTGCAGAAAGCTACTTCCAGTGATCTTGTGAAGCCTAGCAAGTCTCTCCTTGAGCAGCAAATATTACATATACCATTGAAACCACTGGGTCCAGAGTGCAAACATGATTTAGCCTGCAATAATCAGATATTGAGCAAATCTTGAAAACTTTTAACTCCCTGAGTGAATGAAGGACAGAGTGATACAGATTCTCTGATGGAAATACTAAACTTCATTTGCACTACTTTTGTAAAACATTATATATTATTTCTTAACCTCACTTTGCAACCATTTCCTCCTAAACTAAGAATTCTAACTTTTGTTTGCATTTCTAAGTCACCCATCGATGTGCTATAGAATGCAAACCATGCTGAAGGTACAAAGCAGGCAATTAAGATAACTGACTATAAGGAGTATGTGTTTGGAATATTTAAAAAGTTGGTAAATATTTTCATCATTAACCTTGTCAGAGGTTATTTTATTTTAAATGTTATAACTACTTAGATACATCAAGATTGTTTTAGGACTTAGGCTGTAGCTCATGGTAGAGAATATGTTTAGCATGTACAACGAACACCCTGCATTTGATCTTTTTTTTTTTTTTTTTTTTTCCAGTACTGGAGATCGAACTTGGGACCTTGCACTTGCAAGGCAGGTGGCAGAACCACTGAGCTAAATCCCCAGCCCTGCATTTGATCTTTAGTACCAGAAAAAAACAAAACAAAACAAAACAAAACAAAACAAAAAAACAGACAAAATTTAACTTTTTAAAATGTACTAGGATTGAACCCAGGGTCTTTGCACCAAGCTATATTATGCTATATATTCTGAGATAGGGTCCTACCAAGTCATTAAACTGCCTGTTCCAGACTGGAACTTTCTATCCTCCTGTCTCAGCCTCCCAAAGTTCTGGGATTACAGGTTTGTACGCCACTGTGCCATCCTAAAAGCTACTTTGTGTTATTTTGTTTTGTGACACAGGGACTTGCTCACATCTTTAAACTCACTATGAAACCCAGGCTGGCTTGGAGCTCAATGAGATCCTCCTGCCTCAACCTCCAGAGTGCTGGAATTAACAGTCACGCACCACCACACCTGGCTAAAATTTAGCTTTTAGAAGACAAAATTATCACCAGATACAGTGGTGCACACCCATAATTCATTCTACTAGGCCAGCCAGGGGAACTCAGCAGGACCCTATTTCAAATGATACGAAGAGCTGGTAGAGGGCCCTTAGGTTAGAAGTCCAGTACCCCTAAAAAACAAAAACAAACCCAACCCACAAAATCATGCACATACAGTTAGAGATTAGAATTTTAATTATCTTAAAGTTCATTTACCTTTACCAGATCCTTCACAACATCCATTTTGTTGAGAAGAAGACAAACTACTATAAATCTTGCATAGTATCGTAACTTCTTCACTACCAACTCAGGTCTGTGGTAGGAAAATGAAAAATTGCTCATTAAATTCATACAGAATAGATCCATTTTTATTTTTACATTCTGATGAGCTTTGTAAACTGTCCACCATTTTGACAGTTATGAACATTTCCAAATGTACCTATAGTCTTTTAAATATACTTTTTATTCAGCACTTAAGTCATTCTTCATACATTTATATGTTCATTCAATAAAATGTCTTTTGAGAACTCATCATGCATCAGGGATGAAGCTGTGTGCTAAAAATACAATATAGGAGTCAGATAAATATTTAAAACACAGGGGGCAAATACACCGACTAGAGAAACAAAGAATGTTATCTGAGCCCACAAGGCTAGATCTGTGGTGAAGTAAAAGGTAAGACCACAAGGAAGAGCAGAAGACTACAGGAAAGAGAATGTGAGGTGACAGTAATTCCAGGAAGGACATTCTTTTCCTTGAAATCCACTTTCCTGATGTTAATAAAATGAAGCCAGCTTTGTCATGCTTACTCTTTCTATACCAGGTGTTTTTCCATCTTGCTATTTTCAACTGCCTGTATTTTTTATTTAATGCATCTTTTATAAACAATACAGCTTTTTAAATTCACTTTGGCCATCTCTGCCTTGTACTTGATGTACTTAGACCACAGAATGTAGTCATTGATTACCTCTCTTTTTTTCATTTTCAGAAAACTGGTTTTTATTTCTTTTCATTAGTACATATTATAGCACATAATGCTTACCTTCTTACTGTGGAGTTCGTACTCATCTTAATACCGCTTTTCATCCTCTTTCACTCTCCTCCCTCCTGCCCCACACCAGACTCTTGATGCCTCTTCCATTTGAGAAAGATCTCCCTACTTTCTCTTATTTTTTATTTTATTATTTATTTATAATCTAGGTTTCTTATACAAGAGAAACCATGCTATATTTAAACTTATGTGTCTGATTTATTTCCTTAACATTATGGTCTGAAGGTGCAGCCTTTTTCCTATAAGTGACTCAAGTTTATCCTTCTTCATGGCATATCCAGCGAGTGTAAATACATTTTCTTTATCCATCCATCCATCTGTTCATGGACACACAGGCTGCTTGCAAGATTTAGCTATTATGAATTGTGCTGCTATAAACATGGATATGTATGTATCACTATAATATGTCTTTACCTCTTTCAGGAAGATAACTGGTGGGAAGGGGATCAGCTGGGTCAAATGGGATTTCTAATTTCAGATTTTTTGAGCAATCTCCAAACTTAATTCCATAGGGTTGTATTAGTTTAAATTCCTATCAACAACATAGAAGGGTTCCTGTTACCCCAAGACCACACCAGCATTTATTACTATTTGATTTCTTGATGATGGCCATTCTTTCTGGGGTAAGATGGAATCTCAATGTTGTTGTTTTTGTTTTGTTTTTTTGTTTTTTTGGTACCAGGGATTGAACTTGGGTCCTTGTGCTTGCGAGGCAGGTGGAACCACTGAGCTAAATCCCAGGCCCCTTCAATGTTGTTTTAATTTGCATTTCTCTATTAGCCAGTGACACATTTTCTTCATGTATTTATTGGACATCAGTACATCTTCTTCTGGTAAGTATTACTTCATTTGCCCATTTTTTTGACTGAGTCTTTTATTTTGGGGTGGGGTCTACTTTTCTAAATTCTTTATATATCTTAGATTATTAATCCTCTGTCCAAGGAACAGCTAGCAAAGAAAATTTTCCCATTCTGTAGGTTTTTTTTATTCCATTGGTTTTTTCTTTTGCTGTGGCACAGCTTTTTAATTTGATATGATCCCATTTGATTCTCATTACTATTTCCTGTGCAACCAAGGTTCTGTTCAGAAAATCCTTTCCTATGTCTGTCAATTCAAGAGTTTTACATATTTTATCTTGCAGCAGATTAAATGTCTCAGTTGTAACATTTTTATTCTGGTTTATTGCATGGTGCAAGATACAGGTCTACATTCAATCTTTTGTGTGTGAAGAGCCAGATTTCCCAACACTGTTCTTAAAGAGGCTATCTTTCCTCCAGTGTAAGTTTTTGGCCTCTTTGTCAAAGTTCAATTAGTTTGATGTACTTGGGGCCATTTCTGCATCCTCTATTCTGTTCCATTGATTCTCACTGTCTGTTTTTGTGACACCATGTTGTTTTTATCACTGAAGCTTTTTAATATAACTTCAGGTCTGGGATTATGATGCCTCCTGCTTTGCTCTTGTAAGTCAAGATGGCTTTTGCTATTCCGGGTCTCTTCTGGTTGGGAATTTTAGGATTTTTTTCTCAAGTTCTGCAAAGAATGTGCTTAGTATTTTCTTTTCTTTCTTTTTTCTTTTTTTTGTACCAGGGATTAACTTAGAACCTTGTGCTTACAAGGCTGGTACAGTGTCATTGAGCTAAATCCCCAGTTCTGTGTTTAGTATTTTGACTGGGACTATGTTAAATTAGTATATCAATTTTGGAAGTATGGCCTTTTGACTATATTGGTTCTGCCTATCTAGGAATGGGATGTCTTTCCATTTTCTCATTTTTCCTTCAATTTCCTTTTTCAGAGTACTGTTATTTTGGTCTTTTACTTCATTAGTCAGGTTATTTCCTAACAATTTAATTTTTCATAGTGCTATTGTGAGTGGTATTTTTTTCCTGATTTCTTTCTTGGTGCATTCATTATTGAGTATAGAAGAATGATCTTGATCTTTGTGTGTTGATTTTATAACCTGCTACATTACTGAATTTGGTTGCTGTTTTTGGAAGCAAAACATTTAATAGTACATTTTAGATATACAAAATGATAACAGCCATCATAAGGAATCTGTACTTGTACATGATATATCATTTCTCCTTTTTTTCCTACAGCCCTTCAACTCCTTGTTCACCCAAGTTTTGTGGCTATTTTTCCCTTCTATTTTTTTCTTGTCCTTTCTTTCTACCTTCCCCTTCTCATTTGAACGTTTTTGTCCCATTTTCCCAATATCTATTATACATTTTGGTCCTTATTTCCACTTTCCATTTCTCACACCAGAGAAACAAAGGGGTATTTAAACACGTGTATCGGATTTATCTCACTTGAGACTATGGTTGGCCAACTTCCTGGACGAAGGCCAAGTGGTGAGCAGCAGAGAAACAGCTGCTCCAATATTTGGTATCCAGATACTGGAATATAGCAATGTGAGGAAGAGAAGAAAACGAAGGGAAGTAACTCCCTGGGATCCAAGAAGGATCTGAATTGAGAACTGAAGCCCACAGGGAGAACAAGAAAGAGAGATGTCAACAAAGAAGGAGGTGGCAGGCAGCACTTTCTCTCTGATCCCAGACTCAGTGAGTGTGTGAGTTTAACCTGCAGATTCATGGTTACTACTGGCAATCCTAGAGACCTCCATGGAGAAAATTCACCATTGGAATGGTGCCATCGGCTGAGTCTGAAGATGGCCTTTATCCTCCTTTTCCCCTCGCTACTCCCTTTCTCCTCTAAAGATTAGAGAGTCAAACATAGATTAGAGTCAAACAGAGAGTCATAATGTAGACCACATATGGCACAGCCCCAGCAGACAGTTACCTTGTTATCCTTCCCTGTTCCTTTCCTGCACATGCCCATCACAAAACAAACATGCTACATTCCCCTAGGCCACTTAGGCCACATAGCACTATTTGCCCTACCTCTCTTCCTATTTGCCTTCCACTATAAATAAAGAACTTGTGGTGCTCCAGGCATCCATGAGCTCCCAACAAGCTATGGTTCCACCTGGTCCCAGCTAAAAATAATCTTGGTCTTCATCGTCTTTCTTCATCTCTCACCACTCTCCCTGGCTTTGGACTCTATGTTGTATGGGTTGCGGCAGAATGAACAGTGGACACAGCAGGAGCTGGTGAGTTATTCAGGTTTAGATGTCCCCCAGGAGAGGGTGACTGGCTAGTAACAATCTTGGAAAGGGTCCAACTGAGCTCAGAACTCAGAAAAACTACATGCCAGCTCCATCAAGCAGCTCCAAGTCTGAGGGAAAGGATGCTGAATTCAAGTCAGCAGGAGATCAGGGAGCTGAGTTCAAGCTGGGAAGAGGCACATGGATTATTGCAGGCTGAACAAATACGGTACCAGCCTTACAACCAGAAACCAGCCTGAATTTCAGTGGAACAAAAGGTTCAGGCTTGCTGGGATCATCAACTACCCCGCCGTAAAGCTATGTCTGGCTTTCTAGGATTAATCAACTTGGAGCTGGACTCCATCTGTCCACATTGCCTACCAGTGACAGCCAAGACACATCTTGAAGAGAACATTATTTTTTTCTCAATTTCTTCTTTTTTCTTTAACTTGTTTTTTTGGTGTGTGATTATTTCTTCCTGTTTTTATAGGAGTATGAACACAGTATCTACTTTGTGTTGTAGTTCTGTTCTTGTTTTTATTTCTTCCTTCTCTCTTTCTATCTTGTCTTCACCAGTTTCCTAAAATTTGCATGATCTTCCTATGTCCTCCAGACTTGTTTCTACTCTCTTCCTCTTCTTTTATTTTTCTATTTTTTCCCCTTACCTCTTTAAAATTTTCTTCCCTGAGGGTAGAACAGTCAAATTGAGGGCTTATTTACTACATACAGTGTTCTGGTTTGTTTTACATTTTGTTATATAATCAAAATCTAATTCATACAAAGGTGGCAAATTAATAGTTACCACAGTGTGCCATTTTCTAGGCTGTGTTTAATGCTATTGTTACTGCTGACTGTACCACTTTAGCCAAGGTGACATAATCGCTCTAATCAATTGTTCTTCCTGGTATACCAAGACTGCAATTGCCTGAGAGTCATAAAAAATGCTACAGACCAGTGCCAAAGAACCAGGGGCTGAGCGAAGTAGGCAGTAACTTCTCATAAAATGAAGAGGTAGGATCTTCCAACAGACTGCAAATCTAAGTCTGTCACACAGGGAAGACATCTCTGAGAAGCAGTCATTTCCTAAGAGTTCTCAACACTAGCAATAAAGCTACTGCCATAAGCAATTTACAAGCATTAACTCAGGAATTAAAACTACAAAAAAAAAAAAAAGAAGATGAGAAGATACTTAAGCAAGATGCAATGTAAAACTTCCACTCAGCAAAGGCAAACCCAGGGGACAACGAGATGAAACAATTCGAAACTCACCCACCTAAACTCCTTGAAGTGATAATGCTAAAAAATCAACAGCTTTCTGGGCCCAGGATTTAGCTCAGTGGTACTGTGCCTGCCTTGCAAGGTCTGAGTTCAATCCCCAGCGCAAAAAAAACCCCAAAAACAAACAAACAAAAAACCCCCCAGCTTTCCTGTAGATGAGTAACAAATTCACTGATAGAGAAATTAGGGAAACCACACATTTCACAATAGCATCCAAAACAATGAAATACCTAGGAATCGATCTAATGAAGGAAGTAAAAGACATTTACATGGGGTACGGGGATTTAGCTCAGTGATGCCACAGCCTGTCTGCACATGTCCTGGTTCAATCTCTGGTACTAAAAAAAGAGGACATAAACATTTACATGGAAAGCTATAGTACTCTGAAAAAGGAGATCAAAAAGAATATCAGAAAATGGAAAGAAACCCCTTATTCCTGGGTAGGAAGAACCAATATAGCGAAATGGCCATACTCTCATGGCTATACTCCCAAAATTTTTATACAGATTTAATGCAATCCCAATTAAAAATTCCAACAACATCTCTCACAGAATTAGAAAAAAACAATCTGAAAATCCATTTGGAACCAGAAGAGACACAGAATACCTAAAGCAGTATTTGGCAACAAAGGCAAGGCAGGGGGCATCACAATCCCTTACTTGAAATTATACAACAAAGCCACTGTGATAAAAACAGTATGGTACTGGCAAAAATATAGATGTGAGGATCAATGGAACAAAATGGAAGATGCAGAAACAACTCCAGGCATACTCAGTTGCCTTATCTTTGACAAAGGAGTCAAACACCTTCACTGGAATACAGATAGTGTATTATAAATGGTGCTGGAAAAACCGACTTTCCACATGCCGAAGACTGGAACCAGATGCATATGTTTCATTACATACTAACCTAAGATCGAAATGGCTCAGAGATCTAAATATTAAAACAGAAATAGTAAATCTGCTGGAAGATGGAACAGGTAGAACCTTCAAAGAGGGAAAGACTTTATGAACAAAACCTCAATTGTACAGGACCTATCACAAAGACTCAACAACTGGGATCTCATCTTATTAAAAAATGGTCATGTGAAATGAACAGACACTTCTCAGATGAAGTATGAATATCAAGTCAGAGTCTGTGTCTTACAAGTAGTGGGCTAGGCAGATTTGACAGGAATGGAATTTTGAACTTTGTTAAGAGCCTCATACATGGAATCTCAGCGTTGTTTTAATTTGCATTTCTCAAATGACCAGTGATGTTGAACATTTTTTCATATATTTATTTGTATTTTGGGGAGCAGGGTTGAGACAGGGGCTTGCTATGTAGTTCAGGCTGGCCTTAAACATTTTGGCAACCCTCTTTCCTTGCTCTCATGAATGCTGGGATTACATGTGTGCACCACTATGCCCAGCTGTTTTGGTCTTTTTTTTTTTTTTTTTTGGTACCAGGGATCGAACTCGGGTCATTGTGTTTGTAAGGCGGGCTGCAGAACCACTGAGCTAAATCCCTGGCCCATTGGCCTTTTAAATGAAGTGTGAAATTATAAAACATTTTCTTATTTGGTGTTTACTGGCTATTAATTTTAGTAGATTTTGGTAACTGCTACCTGGACTGGCCTCCTCGCCCCATGTAAAGAAAAAACAAACAACCTACCAATTGAAAGAGCCATTCCTATGCACATAGAACAATGTCAAAGTTTTTTGCATGCTGGATTATTCTTTGATTCTAATTTACTGGACCAAAGCAAGAGATCTTGTCATCCTGGTTCCAAATAATCCAACCTTGGTTAATCCAAACTGCTCTAGAAGGTAGCAAAGGAAAACAATTTAGATGTGGTATTTGCTATTTAAGTAGAAAATGACTGCAATAAATCAAACTGCTATGTTCTAAGCCAAGGGGCCCAGGGCCAATTTCCCTTTTGGCACATCAGAAAATACAGAAAAGAGAATTACACAAGGTACTTTGCTACTACTTCAAATAGATCTCTGCTTATAAGTATTTTTAATGCTGATACACAGTCCGCTTCTGGTTTTTAGAGGTACAATTTATCTCACCAAGAATTAAGACAAACTGACGGGGCATGGTGGTGTGCACCTATAGTCCCAGCTACTTGGGAGGCTGAGGTGGGAGATCGCTTGAGTCCAGGAGTTCTGGGCTGCAGTGCACTATGCCGATCGGGTTTCCACACTACGTTCAGCATCAATACGGTGACCCTCCCAGGAGCAGAGGACCACCAGGATCCCTAAGGAGGGATGAACCAGCCCAGGTTGGAAATGGAGCAGGTCAAGAATTAAGATAAACTGTATAACATGAATGGAAAAGTGGGGGTTGGAGAAAATATCTCTGAAGTGAAAATATGTGAAGCAAACCAAAGAAGAAAACCTGAAGAAAAGTAAGTGATGGAACTTTGATAAAGGATGAAGGGGATGACAAAAAGATATCAGAGTAAAATGGAGAATCTAGCATCTACACACCACACCATACCATATCAAGAAAACTCCCCTTGACATGTCTGAACAAGATATGGAAAGGAATGAAGGGGATTTATCACATCAGGATTTTCCCAAAACTATCACTGTTTAGGTGGAAAACTTACCAAGTCAACCACAAAGTCTAGAAAAACAAGTTGAAACTATGTTGTTTTTTATTGCCAAGAAAATATAATCTTTTCTTTCTAACAACTATGAGTTCTGTTGCTGAGAATACAGAGAACATTCAGAGCTTCTGTGTTGGAAATGTATCCTCCAATCATTCTTGGAATGCTAGCTACAAATACTCTAGTAGATCCCTGATGTCTTCCACAATTCCATGCCTGTCTAAATGTTGCAGTCCAGCTGTAACACATACATATCTATAACTTCATTAGAAGACAATCTTCTAAGAGAGAAGTAGCACATCTTTTCTTTTTTCCACTCTCACCCCAACACCTGCCACCGTGCTTTATATGGAATACTGACGAACAGATTTCTAATGGGAAAAGATGAATTTTACGTGATTCTTTTTTTTTTTTTTTTAATAGCAGACCTACATATCTGCCAAACAATATTTGGTTTAAAAAAAAAAAAAAAACTCAAATGGCATTAGCAGTCTTTTTTTCTGGTCCTATATAACAATGGGCTTTTTATGATATGTGATTAAGATTACATAGACTAAAAAGAGCAAACATTTTAGCTATGATGCATGGAAGTCATTTCATAGCAAAAAAGCAGGTCTTCAACTCTTCTAAAGAAATAACCCCATCCTGCTTTGTGCTGTGCCTATACCCTGCATTGTTATACATGCTGTACCATCGACAATATTAGTGCTTCTGGAAAACATATACCCCTGCATGTCCTTTAGAAGGGCAGCAACCTGGCAGGCACTCAAAGAAGCCTTTAAAATGATTCGAAGTTACAAGTGTTCCCTTTTCTGCACAATTTCCATAAGAGTAAACATCTTAAATCTTTTATCCTCTTCCTTATAAAACCAAAGCAGATACATACCTGTCCTCTTTATTGACTTGAGAATAATACGATCTCTGTCTGATTGCAGAATAGAAGGAGAAAGCCTCATTCAGATAGCTGGTCTCAGAAGTGCGTAAGCTATGAGAAAAAAATATTAAATATGACCAAAACTTCAACATGATCAATACTTCTTTCATACTGCTCTGTGTCCCTAAACAAGGAGATAGGAATGACTGTCCTAAATTTGAATCAGCAAGGCACAAATCATATCACTCTTAAAATGTATCATACTAACAATAATAATAGCTCCCCACTGTTCACAAGCCTTTTTTGCTGCCAAAGTACACATCATTCTTATTGTATGAAGGGATTCGCCAGACAACATTTTGCCAGGTTAGATCTGTCCCCAGGACCAGACCCTTCCATGACTTTCTCCAGGTCCATATAGTCACTTGAACTTTGGCCCATTACTCTATTTTCTCCCTCACAAAAACTCATAAAAGGACTAACTTCTATTATTCTTTAGGGGATGCTAATGAATTGTGTTCCCTGTTTGCAAGGCATTTTCAAGAACATGTTCTTCAACTCAAGAGAGTGAGTTTAATGGCGGGTATTATGAGTGGCACATAAAATTTTGGAAGATAAAGGACTTTTCTTGCCATTTAAATTACAAATGGTCCAATCCCCCCCCCGAACAAAACAAAAATTTTAAAAATCCACATATGGTTCAAGTCTTTTTAATTCTATAACTACTGTTACCTATGAGAATGATATTTAGATTCATAAAAAGAGCTCTCTTCTCCTTATCCCAAGGGTGGGACTATACAAATGCTATTGTTCTAAGGATATAATAAAAAGCATTTTCATGTATTTTAAGTTAACAGTCAAAATCCTACAAACAGGAGTTTTTAAAAGTATACCTCTGAAAACTACTCATTCAAGCATACAAGTTATGATATTATCTCTGCATACTACCAAGAGTTAAGTGAAACCATAAGAATAATAAATCCATTTAGTAGTAATCATTCATCAAAAACCAAGATCAAGGGCTGAAGATGTAGCTCAGAGGTAGAGCACAAATCTAGCATATAAAGCCCCTGGGTTCTATGCCCACTACTGCTAAAAAGAAAAAAAACAAGATCAAATTCCTTTAATTCTGACCCAATGGATTATGGAAGGTCATTTGATGATGCTGTCTTCATCAATCTGGTCTGACCCAGATTTCATGTGTAACACACTGTCTTCCCTCTGAGCAAGTAAACATGATGCATATTCCTATCTGTTGTGTTGTAACAAGGGCAACATTTGATTCTTTCCATGTGCAGTTCACTTACTAATAATGGTAGTATAGCTGCCCAATCTTAGAAGCAATTTCCCCTATTTGCCACCGCTTCAGGCCATACCGATTATCCAAGACTTGTCTGTTTTATATAGGAGGCAAGAAAATAGAAATAAGAAGCCATAAATATAAAAAATAATCAAATATGCAAATCCAACAGGATAAAACACCAACCAATTAGCAAAGCTCATAAATTTCTCAAGAAATATCAACATATCCATTTAACTAAATTTAGAAAAGCATTTATTAAATGTCTACTTAAAATAAGCTAAATATAAAAAGAAACTCTTCTGAGCTATTATCATAAAAATTAGGAGCAACTCTTCACTCCCCAAATAGCTTTAATGTAGTTTAGAGTGAAAACACGGATCTTTCACCATGTTAGAATTCATCTGGACCATTCTGGATACATTTTTTAAAACTCAGATAAGAACACTATATTTTAAAATCTTAAAGAAGTAAATTTGTTCTCATTTAAGTCATAGGGTGAAGTGTATTATCTTTAAATTACCAAGATAAAAAGCACTGAAAGCTGCAATTAATATAAAATTAATATAAAATGGACCTGCATTCTTCTTTAACTATAAAATTGTTTTACCGATGCTGCTGCTGGAACTTCCAGAGTTTGGTGTAAACATCAAAAGTTCTTCCAAAGTATGACTGCCACTGCTTCTGTCCATACTGTGGCAAATCTCTGTAATAACCAAAAAAAAAAAAAAAAAAAAAAACTAAA